ATTCTGAGGATGTCTATGGCGAGGCGCTGATTTCCGCACTCCCAGAGGGCCCAGATTGCGAGGATGGCCTAGATTCACTAATGCTCAAACTCATTCGTACTCAGGCTCACTCATATTCAAACTCGCACTCATCATACTCATACTCAGACTCACTCACACCCAGATTTACGCACACTCAGACTCACTCACACTTAGACCCACCCACCCGCAGACTCATTCGTAGTCAGACTCACTCGTATTCAGACCCACTCAGGGCCGGTGTCATAACCATCATACTCATACTCAGACGCACTCACATTCAGATTTACTCAGGCTCAGAATTACTCACACTCAGACCCACCCACCCTCAGATTCACTCGTAGTCAAACTCACTCGTACCCAGACCCACTCAGGGCCAGTGTCATAACCTTCATACTCATACTCATACGCACTCACATTCAGATTAACTCACGCTCATAATCACTCACACTCAGACCCACCCACCCTCAGATTCACTCGTAGTCAAACTCACTCGTACCCAGACCCATTCAGAATTAGACTCGTACTCACTATACTCATACTCAGACTCACTGGCTTCCGCACCCCAGAGGGGGGCAGATTGGGATGATGTCCCAGACTCACCTGTGCTCAGACTCGTACTCATCATACTCCTTTTCAGACACACTCACAACCAGTCCATGCAAATAGATGCACATACGAGGAGCTCCACGCATTGAATAATTCTGCGTCCGCGCCGGACCACCCCTCCCCTCCTCCCTCTCTTCACTAGACAACGATGATGATTGTCGTGATGATGACCATGGTATGGTGAGAGCATGATGTGAGTATGATGGTCATGGTGAATGATGGGTGAGTATGATGGTGATGAAGTTGTTGATGATCATGCTGGTGATGATGCTGACGACGATGACGATGATGATGATGATGATGATGATGATGATGATGATGGTGATGATGATGATGCTGATGATGATGATGCTGATGATGCTGATGATGCTGATGATGATGATGATGATGATGATGATGATGATGGTGATGATGATGATGATGATGATGATGATGACGATGACGATGACGATGACGATGAGCAGATGACGAGGATGTCTCGAGCGACTTGCGGGTTTTAACACTCCTAAGGGAAGGCCGCCAGGGGTATTGCACGGCCTCCGCTCGCGCCGAAATGGTGCGGATGCCTCACGCGGTTTGCCGATTTTGGTTGCGAACATCCTCGCCTTTCGGAGCAGATTCTGAGGATGTCTCAGGCGGCTTGCTGGCTTTCGCACTCCTAAGGGGGGGCCGCCAGGGGTATTGCACGGGCTCCGATCGCGCCCAAGTGGTGGGGATGTCTCAGGCGGTTTGCATGTTTTGGTTGCGAACATCCTCCGCTTTCGGAGCAGATGCTGAGGATGTCTCAGGCGAGGCGCTGGCTTTCGCACACCAGGGGGGCCAGAATTCCAGGATGTCTCAAGCGGTTTGCGTGTTTGGGTGGTCAAACTCGTCTGTTGTCAAAGCAGATTCTAAGGATGTCTATGGCGAGGCGCTGATTTCCGCCCTCCCAGAGGGCCCGAATTGCGAGGATGGCCTAGACTCACTTATGCTCAAACTCACTCGTGCTCAGGCTCACTCATACTCAGACTCGCACTCATCATACTCATACTCAGACTCACTCACACCCAGATTTACGCACACTCAGACTCACTCACACTTAGACCCACCCACCCGCAGACTCATTCGTAGTCAGACTCACTCGTATTCAGACCCACTCAGGGCCAGTGTCATAACCTTCATACTCATACTCAGACGCACTCACATTCAGATTAACTCACGCTCATAATCACTCACACTCAGACCCACCCACCCTCAGATTCACTCGTAGTCAAACTCACTCGTACCCAGACCCATTCAGAATTAGACTCGTACTCACTATACTCATACTCAGACTCACTGGCTTTCGCCCCCCAGAGGGGGGCAGATTGGGATGATGTCCCAGACTCACCTGTGCTCAGACTCGTACTCATCATACTCCTTTTCAGACACACTCATACCCAGTCCATGGAAATAGATGCACATATGGGGAGCTCCACGCAGTGAACAATTTGGCTTACGCCGCACCGCCGACCGAAGAGGAAAAGAAGGTTGAGGAGGTGGAGGGTCGAGGATTGTCAAAGGGGGAAGCAGGAGCACGAGGAGGAAGAGGAAGAGGAGGAGGAGGTGCAGGAGGAGAAGCAGCATCACACATAAGGTATTGTACGCTTTGTTTTCCGTTCGTTCAACCCCTCCTCCTGCATACCGCCCAGAAGGCGCATACTCCGAGCCCCTGAGGGCCCTTGTCTTTTACTGTTGTTGTTGCCTTTCCTAGTTTGCTGCGCCCGCCAGGTCAATTTGCTCGTCGCTCCGCTAGGGCGTTTTTTTTTCCGTGCTTGATTTGTTTTTCGCTCCGCTAAGTCGACGTTATCTTCTTTCTCACATCCAGTAACGCTCCAGGCTGCCGCCCTAGGTTTGCGCAGCGCCAAAAAGGTGGAGGAGGAACGAGGATTGTCGAAAGGGGGGAGCAGGAGCAAGAGGAGGATCCGCATCTGCAACCGCAGCAGCAGCAGGAACATCGGAGTCAGCGGAATCACGGAGTAGCAGGAAAGGGCCCCGCCTCCCTTCCCTAGAACCAAACTCGAGTTGTTAACGTTTCGCGCACCCTTGGCAGCTCATACAGCAACGTTGCCGGAGTGTGTTGTCGGGATGAGGTATGTGGATACACACATCGTGGATCGACGAGGACAACCATGGTGAATTCATAGACACATTGTAGGCTTGAGAAAGCCATACTGGACTTGTCTTGGGGCGTGACCTCGCTGTCTTACGTTCCGCGGTCCGACGGCTCGTCGTGGACTCGCTGCTCGTCTCGTTGGAGGTCTTCTTTACGTGGTCGCGGAGCTGCCCTCGAATTACACCCTTTTGGTGGTGCATTTCGCCCGGAAATTCTTCCTGGTGTGCGCCGCCTTCTGGGCGGCAGCGAGACTTGCCTCCTGTTTGCCCCCCCGCTTGGTTTTTTCTCTTCCGCGTTCGTTCTCTTCCTCTGTTCGCCTTCCTCCTCCTGTGCGCGAATTTACGCCGTTGCATCTGCGCTTCGTGCCTCTACGCCGCCCGACTCTGTCGCCGCGGTCCCGAACAAAGGTATCCCCACCAACCCATCCAGAAACGATGTCCAGGCGAGTTGAGGTGATCAGGGAAGTGCGGGAGCAAGCAGATGGACGGCCGAACAGCGCGAAGGAGGGAAGATGATAAGAATACGAAGAAGGAGGTTGGATGGATGGATGGATGAGGGAGTGGGGGGAAGAGGGGTGAATCTGCTGATGCTGATGATGATGATGATGACGATGATGATGCCGATGCTGATGGTGGTGGTGGTGATGATGATTACGACGATGCTGACAAGGAGGAGAAGGAGGAGGGGGAGGATGATGTGGAAGACGAGCAGGAGGAAGGACAAGCAAGAGGAGGAGGAAGGCGAGCAAAGAGGACCAGAGGTCTCCCGGATGCTTCTCGAAGCCTCTTGAGAGATCGTTTGGGCGTTCAGTGGTGGCCTCTTGGGGCGTCTGGGGGGTCTCTTGGCGGTCGTGGGGGGGTTTTGGGCGTTTTGGGTGCCTCGCTGGCCTTTTTGGAACGTATGGGGGGCGTCCTGGGCGCCTCGGGTATCCTCTTGAAGCCTTTGGGGGGCCTCTTGGGGGTCTCGTGGAAGCCTCTTGAAGGCCTATGGGGTCCGTGGGGCGCCTCTTGGAGCCCTCTTGGGTGCTCTTTGGAGCTTTACGGGCGCTCTTCGGGCCATGGTGGAGGCCATCGATCAAACAAGAGGGGAGCTCCAATTAGCGCCCCCCTCCCCCCCAAGAGGCCAAAGTGGTGCCAAAACCTTGCTAAAACAACTTATTGTGGTTTCCTCGCCGACGTCGTTTTTGACGCCCTGACCGCACGCGACCAGCCCCGTCCAGGTCCAGGTCCAGGGGGTAGAGGGGAAGGGTAAACCCTTTTCTTTCCGAGGGGGAAGCAGGATGGTGGAAGAGGAACCTTCTTAGACCACCTACGCCCAGAGGGCTGGTGGGATTACAACCCCCATGTCGTAGGCCCAAATTGTTCATGACCTGAGGAGTATCAGTGATGCTTTCTTCCTCGATTGAGTCAGAAAGAACCCTCTGACACCTCGCCCCCCCTCTTTCGTCCAGACCCAGGGGGGGAAAGGAGGACTAAACCCCTCCCTGAAAAGGGAAGAGCGAAATTGGAAGAACACATGTGTTGAAACACCTACGCCAAGATGGCCGGTGGGATCCTACGTATCCCCACTAGCCCAGCCAGAAACGATTCCTGGGAGAGCAGCTTGGTCCTGGGAGGTCTGGGAGCATGCGGCGCGGCACGAACAGATGGAGAGGGGGTAAACCGCCGCATCATTCCCACGCTTCCCAACGCATTGTAGAACTAGGATCGCCTCTTCCAGGGTCGTCGCAATGATCTCCCGCAAGGCGTCCAGGAGTCAACCATCAGTGCGTCTCTCGGAAAATGCCTTCGGACACTCATGAGTCCACCGTGGACGCCTTCTCAGGGACGGTCAGGAGTTAGACATCGCTGCTTTCTCGTGGAGGCTTAGGAATCGACTGGGTGGGTGTCTTATCTTTCTCGGGAAGCCGCGGGCCTCCCTGCCAAGGCGCCACGGAAGCTCTTATGGTTGACTTCCGATTTCTCCGTGACCGCGGGCGCCAAGAAACGAGGAGTCAACCGTAACGGAGGCCCTCACTGCTTGCAGCGCTCAGGGTAGGCGTTCCCCTCTTCGCTGCCCCCATGCCAGCTTCTGCAGACCACTAGGGGACCTGGGGCTCCCCCTGAACTTAACTTAGGTCTTTCCGTTTCGCTTGAGTGCGAAACGGATGCGGTTGTGCACACCTCGTTGCCTCCATCCTCCCACCCAGGAGAAGGGTTGGCCTCCCGTCGACCTCTGCTCCCGGCCAGTACGAGCGCAGGCGGAGAGGCTGGGCATGGGTTGCCAGACAAGTTCGGAGAAGCAGCGGGCTGCCGACGGCGACGTGGAGAACCTCCTCCTTCCGCTTGCCACCAACCTCCTCCCTCCCTCCCTCCTTCCCTCCTCCTCCATGCTCTTATCCCTCCCCCATCTTCTCTTTGTTCCTGCCCGATGTTCTGCCTTCCACGATGCTGGTCAACACAGCGTGTCGTGTCATTGTCTCCGGTGCGCGATGATTATGCTCTCCTGAGGGGTGCGCTCCCCCTCAGAGGGCTGATGAGAAGGACAAGGAGTGCAGGGGGGAGGAACGCCTTGCCCGTCTGGGTCTCGCTGCCACGGCGTCTCGGGATGTTTCCCTGTCGTACAGTCGTGATGGTTTGACCTTGCTGTGCGGGAGGGGGGGGGGGCATGGGAGGAGCAGGAGGAGGAGGAGGAGGCGGGTGGGATCGCCTTTGTTTTGTACCCACCCCCCATTGTACCTTTCATCTCTTTGTGCGCCGCATCTCTCCGCTACGCATCGGGTCCCATCGACGATCCTCGTTCGATGTCGAACCGTAGGCGTTTTGACTTGAAGAGCCCTAGCGGCGAAACATGTAGCCGCGGTCATCGCATGTGACGTAATCTAAAGCAGGGGGAGGTAATTCGTCCCCTCCTACCTCACCCTCCTCACCCCCCATGCCTCTTCCACACCTTTTGTCTCTAGTGTTTTGCCGCTCTTCGAGCGGGGGGGGGCAGTGCACAAATGGCATTCGCCATTGGCCTGCGTAGCACTACACCCCGGGGTCAAATTATTGGGAAAGCGATGCGCTGGGCAAAAAGCATTCACGCACACATGCGCACAAAGCACAGACACACGCACACACACACACACTCACATTCACACTCACAATCTCAATCACACTCATAATCACACTCACTTTCACACTCTCACACTCTCACACTCTCACACTCTCACACTCTCACATTCTCACACTCTCACACTCTCACACTCTCACACTCCCACACTCTCACACCCTCACACTCTTACACTCTCACACTCTCACACTCTCACACTCTCATTCTCCCACACTCTCACACTCTCATACTCTCACAATCACAACCACAACCACGACCACGACCACGACCACAACTACAACCAGAACAACAAGCACAATCACAATCACAATCACAGTCACAATCACAAAACAATCACAATCACCATCGCAATCGCAATCGCAATCACCATCACACTCACACTCGCACTCATACTCACACTCACACTCACTCACACTCACACTCACACTCACACTCACACTCACACTCACACTCACACTCACACTTATTCTTTCACTCACACCCACACTCACACTCCCACTCGCACTCGCACTCGCACTCACACTCACACTCACACTCACACCCACACTCACGATCATAATCATAATCACAATCACAATGGCAATCACAGTCACAATCACAATCACAATCTCAATCACAATCACCATTTCAATCACAATCACAATCACAAATCTAATCACAATCACAATCACAACCACAACCACAACCACAACCACAACCACAACCTCAACCCCAACCCCAACCACAACCACAACCACAACCACAATCTCAATCTCAATCACAATCACAATCACAATCACAGTCACAATAACAATCACAATCACAATCACAGTCACACTCACGCTCACGCTCGCACTCACACTCACACTCACACTCACACTCGCACTCGCACTCGCACTCGCACTCGCACTCACTCACACTCATACTCATACTCATACTCCCAGACTCACACACGCACTCACACTCACAAGCACGCTCACAAGCACAAGCACATGCACTAGCACAAGCACAATCACAATCACAACCATGATCACGATCACAATCACAAACCTAATTACAATCACAACCACAACCACAACCGCAATCTCAATCTCAATCGCACTCACACTCACACTCACACTCACACTCACACCCACACCCACACCCACACCCACACTCACGCTCGCACACTCTCACTCACAATCACAATCACACACACACACACACGCACACACGCACACACGCACACACCCACACACGCACACACACGCACACACACGCACACACACGCACACACACACACACACACACACACACACACACGCGCACACACGCGCACACGCGCACATACGCACACACGCACACACGCACGCACGCACGCACGCACATACACACACCCACGCACGCACGCACGCACGCACGCACACACGCACACACGCGCATACAGACCCTCGCGCTCAATTTCCATGAACCACGCGCGTATCGAACCCGCATGCTGCGGGGGATTGGACAAGCTGTTCGACTCGAGCGGAGTCGACACCTTCGCCAACGGAGTTCTGGTTCTGTACAGGCAGTCCACACGCAGTGCACACGCAGTGCACGTCCACACTGAGAGCAGGACACTCCACACCCATGTCTGCGCATACATGCGTACTTTCTCGAATCGAGCACCACTTGATGCGGCCACGCGAAGTGCAGCCTGTATGTCGTGGTTGCGCATGTGGTGCAGAGTGTGACATGGCGTCTTGACTTTCCGATACAGGGGAGAGTTTGTTCCATCTCACGTGTCGAAAGTTATGTGACCACCGCGCCCGAGCAGGAGACAGCGAATGGTGATTCTCCCAACGAAGGGATCTCGGTTGTCGTGGCAGATACTTCTGCCGACAAGGAACGCTGCAAGTTGTGGATGTCATGGGATTGTTCCCAGGGGCCTTGCGAGAGGATCAGAGTGATTGGTGACAGAGGAGGGGCGAGTGGAGGAACGTTGCGAAGCACGAGTCAGTGCTCTCTTATGTACGACCGAAGGAGGAAGCAGATGAGCGGAGGAAGACGAGGAAGAGTCAAGGACATCACAGCGGGGCGATTTGATTACGCATATTGTGGTTTGATTGATAATAGGTGATGTGTCGCAGGGTCGGGCACGGCAGATGTTGAAAGCATCTCGTCCGCGCAGTTTCGTCTGGATGTGTATGCTCCTGTTCTGTACCCAGTAGCCGTCGGCCCAGTACGGGCGCGCGCAGCCTTGTGGGACAGAGCGCCTTCGGCGGAACAGCCGAGGGAGGAGGGGCGGAGTCGGGGCTGGCCAGGCCGGCAGTGGAGAGGTACAGGGCCGTCCACGAAAGTGGGTTAGGACTAGGGGGGGTAAAATGGCCTGGGCGACGAGATCGCGCCGATTTTATTGGACGCTTCTCTTCTTTCAGCACGTTCCTTGGCCCCCCCTCGTCTGCGCACAGGCCTTTGGCCATGATGCGCCAACCCCATCCTCGGCGTTCCCGAGGGGCGAGCGCGCCCTCGGGGCCGCGCCCAGCATGCCCGCAGGACGGCCCCTCGCAGGAAGTGTCGGGGGCGTCGGCTGCCGGGCGAGCCCCCTCCTCGCCGTCGCGCCGCGGTCGTCGTCGTGCCATCGTTTGCACCGCCGCCGCCCGGCTACGCGCACGAGCGCCCCCTTGCCTGAGTGGCTTGCGGTGCGACCCCGCAGCGGTCCCTCTGGGCACTGGCTCGCGCGCTCGGACTTGGGCCCACCCGCCCCCGCAAGCCGCGCACCAGAGTCCACCCCTGCCCGGGCTCTTTCGTGGCCTGCAGCCGTGCCACATCCGTCCGCGCTGCCGCCGCCCACGCGGGCCGCCGCCGAGCGCTGCCGCCACCAGCGCCCGTGGCCGTCGGGGTGCAGCCGGGAGGGCCGGGAGGGCCGGGAGGGAAGAAAGCGGCACCTTTTCCACGCCGGTCTTCTTCTTCCTCCTTCTCCTCCTCCTCCTCCTCCTCCTCCTCCGCCGCTCCTCTGGTGCACGCTCCGCCTCCTCCTCCTCCTCCTCCTCCTCCTCCTCCTCCTCCTTCTCCTCCTCCTCCTCCTCCTAGGGGCGGTTGGGGGAGGGGTGGGCGCTAGCCCTGACGAGCCCAGTCAGCTCTCGCCCTGGGCAGTGCTAATTATCCCGAACCTGCCCTGCTCTGCCGACACAGGTGGCTTACCTGTCCTACGGAGGAGCAGGGGCCACCAAACCTCCGCAACACGACACATCTTTTCTGAGGCAATAGCAAACAGCCCATATTGTTCGTTGTTGTACCCCCGAGGGTTGGCTTGGTTGCGTAATTGGCCCGTGGCCCAAGGGTCTAGCCGTACAGTGCTGAACAACGCAGATCCCCATTAGTTCTGATTGGTCTTGTTTGGTTTGGCTAACCCGATCAGCGTTGGCATGCCGACAATACCAGTAGTTGTTACGAACTCTGGTCAGCCTCGACTTGCTCCGTTGCGTTGGTATGTCGGCAAGTGTTGCCGCTAGCTCCACTTGGCCCCATCATCAGCACTGCGCGCAGACAGGTAGCATGCAGATGTGCTTGCATCACATACCGGCTTGCAGATGACTCCGTTTAGGTATTGTCGTGTATTGGTATGTGGTATCCAGTGTTCGGTGTGTTGTTTGGAGTCCAGTTGACATATGCGTGTATAGTTCAAATGTAGTTTCTTGTGCAGAGAGTACGCTTCTAACGCGCATGCTGGCATATCGGTGATTTCGTACCGCGGCGGCCACGCCTTCTTCCTATCCTCTCACCCTCGTCCCTCTCGCTACTCTCCCCAACCTCTCCCCACTCTCCAGTCTCCTCTTTATCCTCATCCTTCCCATGCTCCCCCTCTTGGCGGCCGCTTGTTATCCCTGGCCTGTCCCACCCCCCCCTCCCTCGTCCTTCACGCCTCCTCCTCGGAAGGAGGAGGAGGAGGAGGAGGGGGTCTGACGGAGTTATTAAGAGGAGTGTCAGGAGCCAGGGGCAGAGGAAGCGGGGGAGGGGCGGACGAGGGAGGGAGGAGGGAGCAAGCAGCCGGAGGGCAGTGGACGAGGAGGGCCGAGGAGGAACGCGCGGCGCTTGCCGAGGGGCCACCTTCTGGGCGCACCGCACGGGCACCCCACGCCGGGGCCATCCAACACACGCTGTCCACGGCGCAGCTGCCCAGTGACCCGACGAGCTCCACCGCGACGCGCTCCTCCGCCGTCCACCGTCCCCCTCCCCTCTTCGGCCCTCCCTTGTCTCCAGAGGAGCAAAAGAAGTCCTGCGAATGATGCGTTCCAAGATTCCCCGGATTTTCCTATCGTTCCGCACGGGCTCCAGACATGAGGATATCCTGGAATGGTTGCAGCGTGTCCAGAGCCAATCGTACCATGATGTCGTTCTAGTCCCATCTCCTTTTCGACGAGCTACCATGCCCACCCCCCCACATGAGGCCCGCGTTCCAAAAATGGCCTTGCCTTCGAGGATCGGAGGAACTGGCATCTCTTCCTCGGCGGAAGGCGGCGGAAGGGCGGGGGGCCTGGGGACGGTCGGCGGAAGTAAAACGAGGCCGCCTCCGCTGGCAGAAGCCGGCGGAGCCAGGCGGAAGGGCGGTGGGAGGTGGCGGAGGTAAAAAATGCGCCCCCAAGAGTTGACCACATTTTTGAGCTCAGGGTTTCCGGAGCCCGTCACATGCGTCGGCTCTCCCTCTTCTTTTGCAAGATCTTTAGATCTTTTCCCGCCCGGTGTAAGCTCCCCGCCGAATCTGGGCGCCAGCCCGCGGCCAGGTCCAGCACCTCCGAGGCGCGGGTCGCCCGCCGGCCCCCCCTCCCCGCTCCCCCCCGCCGGTCGGAGCGATCAGAGTTTGCACGAGCGCGGATGATCTCGGGGGGCTCTTGGGGGGGAGGGGAACGTAGGTTCCAACGGTGGGCGGCGAGCGAGGGGTGGAAGTGAGAAGGAGAAGGCCGTTTCAGAAGGCGGCGAGATTTCTCAGAAGCCCTCGCGCCTTCTGAGAGGTTTCCCGTGCCTTCGGGGAAGGCCTAGAAAATTTTCCAGAAGGCCAGGGGATTTCCGAGCTTTCTGAGAACGCCCGCCCCTTCTCACTACCTCCCAGGGCTCGCCGCCCGCAAGGGCTCTGGAGCTCGGGCGGCTCTCGGGGCCAGGGAAGCCATTTCCACTCCTTGCCCCCTCCCCCTGGAGGACCGAGGCGGGTACGGAGAGGGGGCGACAACGGGCAGCGGTTCCTGTCATTTCTGAGCATTGCTTCCTATCGGTGTCGCCGCACTGTTCCCTTGAGAGACAGCAGGCAGCTCTCAGGAGGGCAAACCACGCACAGACACAATTAGCCGTCGACTCCTAGGAAAATATGGGAAACTATGGGAAGTGGGGGGGAATACGAAAACCAAAAAGTATGTGAAGATATCGGGAATCCTGGAATTTGTGTCTATTCATTTGTGTGTCCTTCGGCCCCTCAAAGTGGCCTGCCCAGAAGCGGCCGCGATCGGTTTGGGACAGCACCTGCTGTTGGGCATCGTGCCCGTTTTTGCCCCCCGCGCTCCGCGCCCATTGTGGGCGTGCCGCGCCGTGTTGCGCAGGATCCAGGCTCCGCCCTCCCTCCTGCGTTTCCTCCTGCTCGGCCTCCGCCCTCCCTCCCGCTCCTCCGTCCTGCTCCTCTTGCCCCCGCCTCTCCTCCTCTCCGCTCCCGAGCTGGTGGCTCGAGACCCACTTTGACCTTCGCAGCCGGCCCTGAATTCCAAGATCTACTGCGAAGGCCTTACGGCCGGTGCCGCCGACCCTGAAGACAACGAAGATGAAAGGGAGGGGGGGGGGGGGGGCAGGGGGAGGAGGAGGAGTGGCAGGAGGAGGAGGAAGGGGAGCCTGGGGCCCAGGCATTTTGTCGGAGCAGGTCCGAGTCAGAGGTACGCCCTGTGCGCCTCGCCTTTCCCACTGTACCCCACTTTTCTGCTGCACCATTCTCCCTTCCACCAACCCCGCGTGGCACCGGAGGGAACGCGCTTTGCGCGCAGCAGATCGCACCCTCTTGCGAGTTGTTGCGGCCGCCCAGAGACTTCGGCATCATCACGCATCGCCGAGGAGAGACGCATTGCCCTACATGGGCAAGCACGACAAGTCCAAGGGCGGCGGTTCCAAGGGCAAGAAGGGCAAGGGTCAGGGTAAGCACCATGGCGGAGGCAAACCAGCCAGCAGCAGTCCGGCGGCATCGGCAGTCAATTGCAGCTGGTGTTGCAGCATTTGTCAAGCCCTGGTTTCTCTGAATCATGAGTGGTGCTGGCAGTGTGTTGGCCACTGGAACAGTCAACCAGCCGCTCCGCCGTCAGCCCATGGTGCTGTTACCCCAACTCGGAAGTGGCGTTGGAGGAAAGGGCCCTGCGGGCCCGCTTCAGGTTGGCCCTGTGGTCTTCCTGGTGGTCGTGCTGGTGGTCCTGCTGGTGGTTGTGCTGGTGGTTGTGCTGGTGGTTGAGCTGGTGGTTGTGCTGATGGTTGTGCTGATGGTTGTGCTGATGGTTGTGCTGATGGTTGTGCTGGTGGTCGTGCTGGTGGCCGTGCTGGTGGCTGGTCGTGCTGGTGGTCGTGCTGGTGGTTGTGCTGGTGGATGTTCTGGTGGTCGTGCTGGTCGCTGGTAGTGGTTGTGCTGGTGGTTGTGCTGGTGGTCGTGCTGCTGGATGTGGTGGTTGTCGTGCTGGTGGTCGGTGGTGCTGGGTGGTCGTGCTGGTGGTCGTGCTGGTGGATGTGCTGGTGGTCGTGCTGGGTGGTCGTGCTGGTGGTCCTGCTGGTGGTCCTGCTGGTGGTCCTGCTGGTGGTTGTGCTGGTGGTCGTGCTGGTGGTTGTGCTGGTGGTCGCGCTTGCGGAGGTGCCCTCCCCTCCGTGCCCCCCCCGCCCTCCCCGGGCCCCCCTCCC